AAGACAAAGCAAAAGCCAACAATTGATCGTCCAAACGAAGAAATGTATTTAGGAACCAAAACCAGCCGATAGACGAACGCTTAGCTAGCTAGTGATCGTGCACGTTACACGACGGGGTACCAAATGGCGGGGATGCTTGACCGGAAGCCTTCAGCTAAACAAGTCGACTTAAACAGTGGTGGTCAGCATCCAATGAGTGATCGCTGTGGTCAATAATTTTGGGGAATTATTTACCGCTACACCGTTATGCCAAGAGTTGTGGTCTTTTAGACAATCCAGGGTGTACATGTCAATGTGTATTTCTAGGCTCCGTTTGAACCCATCGGTGTTTTTACAACATTGAATTTCAGATGGTAGTTATTTCCAGAGGTTGCAATATTAAGTGGTGAAAAATTCTGCCCTAATGGATTTTCTGTGGGTAGCCACCTTGACAAGGTAGTCGTAGTTCCGCAGTTGATATGATTTAATATTTTCCCACGTTATGGATGAGTTACTATAACAGTGTTTCATAATGACTTTGAAGAGTAGAAATAAGTTGCACTTCACTCTCGTTAACCACAGAGGTTCTAATTTCAGACGTATACACTTGTCAACATATTCCACTTGTTGATCAAACCCTATTAAGTGTTTCGTGAGGAATCTCTGGACACTTTCGATTTTTTTTCGGTCTGCAGACCTTAGGTTACTAAATAAAAGAGCACAATATTCAAGTTTGAAGTGGATGCATGTCCTGTATATAGCTAATCTTGCTTCTTGGGTGTAGAAGTTACGCAGTACAAAGCCAGTAAGTCGTTTACGGTCATATACAACCTTATTCGCATGATCTGAAAACGTTAAATCTGAGTATGTTATCGCGAGATCTGTGTTCAGTTTTGAGAGGAGCTTACCGTACATATATAGGCACATTCTCGGCTTCCAGCGTCCAAGCTGGGCTACACCGCACTTGTCTTGGTTGAAAGTCAGTTGCCACTTTTCTCTCCAATCGCCTAGATTGTTTAAGTCATGTTGGATCTTGCTTTCGACGCTCATATCATCGTACCCATAATCATATACTATCTTGAGATCATCTGCAAAGAGGTATGGCTTGCCATACTTGATCACAGAGACTATGTCATTTATAAATAAGAGGAATAGAATAGGGCCAAGAACGCTAGCCTGTATTACGCCACTAGTTATCGGCTTTGATGAAGACGGGTGGTGGCTGATTTTGACTAATTGCTCTCTTTCTATGAGAAAAGAATTTATCCATTTGAGAAGTTTTCCGGTTATTACGTAGGATTGAAGTTTTGTTAGGGGTCTGATATGTGGGACTTATCGAAGACCTTGCTAACGTCGAGAAATAATGTTGTTACCGAACGCCCATTATCAATGCATTGTGTAATGTAATAATCTAAGTGGCAAGTAATTCACCACCTTCTACTTAAGAAACCGTATTGGGATGGGGATAGTAGGTCATTTGACAGCAAATACTGAATGATTTGAGTTTTTACTATCTTTTCCATTACACGTGAAACTACAGACGTGATGTATATGGGGCAGTAGTTGTTGATATCGGTCATAGGCCCGCATCTATGGATAGGTACAATATAAGACTTCTTCCAGAAGGTAGGGTATGTCCCATCGCTTAGTAAAATTGAGTATAACTTGAGTAGGAGTAAGTCCATGTCATTACCATCGTTTTTCAGCAGAATAGAAGATATGTTGCGTGCGTTTTCTGACTAAACTGCTGTACACATATATTCTATGTATTTCTTCGCTCTTATTGATGTGCGCAGACGTTGTGGCTACTCGACGCCCACAACGTAAATCAAAAGGCACTTGTGAAGAATACGAATATGTATTGAAGCAGTAGTCAAATTCGAAATTGTGTCAAGGTAATATTCAACAGTGAATGGACAAGTATTTGCGAAGTATATATAAAATCAGTCTGTATACACATATAATGCAAGTATACAAATTAGATTAAAAAGCATGTTTACAGTTGGTATAGGGGTACTACATAATTCCCCCACCAGAACACTGAAATATATAAAAAAATACATTTAAGTGTTCGAAAATAACATGCGTCAGCGTAATACGTAGCAGCGATAGTACACAGAAGGCGATTTATAAAGCTGAAAAATGAGCGATTTAAAGCGGTTAATAACATCGATAATAAATGCGATAATCTAGGGAAAGTGGAATTCCTAATCGTAATAGAATATATAAGGAACGATAAAATTGTCCAGGGATCTGTAGTCGGTAGACGAAGACGATACGTGAATAATATACGAGATGTGATTAAATATAATAATATAGGAAATATCGATGTTAAAATAATAGTGACGTGATTTATGTATGAAAATATTAATCAGTTAAATGAGTAATCAAATGACAATTACGAATAAAGATAATAAAAATGAAAATTCGTAGTAAGTTATAATTCGATGACTTGCACGTAACGTTTAGGCCAATGGACTCGTCTACCAGATCGCGTTGTTTTCGCAGGCTTCTCTGTCGACGTTGAAGCTTGTGTGGATGTAGGTATTGGCACGTCGTCCAGCTGGTTCTTATCGTTGACTTCGAAATCGTCGAGGAACGCTGGTTTGACTCTGTCGATACTGATGGCTTCTGTTTTATTCAATCTTTCTATCGTGATAACTTTCGCGTTTCTGTTTAGAACTTTGAATGGGCCATCATAAGCGGGTTGAAGTGGTCGTTGTACACCTTCTCTCCTGACGAAGACGTGAGTACAATCTGTCAGTTGTGACGGGATGTATGACGCTCGTTCCTGCTGACGTGGAATTGATATCTTTAGCTCGTTCATGTGTCGTTTTAGCTGGTGCACGTAACCAGTCATATCGTGTGGAACTTGGTTACCCGGGGTGAAAAATTCTCCTGGTAATCGTAATGTTGTTCCATAGACTAGTTCAGAAACACAGCAGCCAATATCTTTCTTTATAGTAGCTCGTATACCAAGTAATACTAGTGGAAGTTTGGTTGACCAATCGTTTTGAGTCAAAGAAGCAGCGAGTGCAGCTTTGAGTTGTCGATGAAATCGTTCGACCATACCGTTGGAACTAGGATGATACGCTGTTGTTCGTATTCGTTTAATGCCTAGTAATTCAGTTAGTTGGTCAAAAGGTCGGCTTTCAAACTGGGCACCTCTGTCTGTAGTGATAATTGATGGGACACCGAAATTGGCTATCCAGTTTTCGACTAAAGCTTTAGCTACCGTTTCAGCTGAGACGTCGATTAATGGAACTGCTACTGGCCAACGAGTAAATCTGTCAATGCAGGTTAGAATATAGTTGAAACCATTGGAAGGAGGCAGTGGACCAACTATGTCTACATGTACGTGGTCAAATCTAGAGTCGGGGTTAGGGAAGCGACCAAGTGGTGCTTTGGTGTGCCGGTTGATTTTGACTCTTTGACAAGACAAGCAATTTCGTGTCCACTTCTTAACGTCGCTGTTAATGTTTGGCCAGATAAATCTTTCTCTTAGTAGCTTGGTAGTAGCGCTAACACCAGGATGCGACAAGTTATGTAACTTCTCGAATACTGTATGTCTCATAGCTGTTGGAATGAAAGGTCGATATTTACCTGTAGAGGTGTCGCAGATAACTTTTGTCGTGCCGAAAGGAATTGCCTCGAGGTTTAAAGATGTTGTTTTAGAAGACATGATCTTTTTGAGTTCGGCGTCATCTCGTTGTAAGTTTGAGAGATGTTCGTAGTCGATGTCTGGGCATACAATGTTATCAATGTGCATACGTGATAAAGCGTCTGCCACTTCATTGTTTTTACCCTTTATGTGTCGCAGATCGGAGGTGAACTGGGATATAAACTCGAGATGTCGTAGTTCGCGCGGAGAGTAGTTATCCTGTTTTGCTGATAAGGCTTTCGTTAGAGCCTTGTGGTCTGTAAAGACCGTAAAAGGTGTACCTTCCAGCATATGTCGAAAGTGCTTGATTGCTAAATAAACAGCTAATAACTCTCTACCAAAAGTGCTATATCGACATTGAGTAGGATTCAGTCGTTTCGAAAAGAATGCAAGGGGTTGCCATTCGCCATGTACCTGCTGTTGTAAAACTGCCCCAATGGCGACATCTGAAGCATCTGTCATGAGAGACAGGGGGCGTCATTCTGGCGTCTGACTAAGAGCGTCTTGTCGTTTAGTGATTGTTTAACAGCTTCGAATGCTTTAACAGCTTCTGCAGGCAAATAGAATGAACGACTATGTCCACGTAAGCAGTCGGTCAACGGTTGCAAAACTCTAGCACAGTTCGGGATAAAACGCCGGTAAAAATTGACTAGACCCAAAAATCGCCGTAGTTTCTTGAAAGAATCTGGTAATGGATAGTCTTTGATGGCTTGTACATCGTCGGGGACTGGTCTAATTCCTTGATTGTCAATCAAGTGACCGAGGAATTTCAGTGATTTCTTACCAAATTCGCATTTATCTAAATTGATAGTCATGCCGTATTTCTGAAGTCGTTCAAACACCGTCCTCACATGTTTCACATGCTCGGTTTCGTCTGCACTTGCAATTAGTAAGTCGTCAATGTATGCGTAGACGAAGGGCAGGCCGCGGAGTACTTGGTCGATGAGACGTTGAAATGTCTGAGCGGCGTTCATCAGCCCGAAAGGCATGCGCACGAATTCGTATAAGCCGAATGGCGTGGTGATAGCGGTTTTTGGAACGTCATCCGGGTGGATGGGAATATGATGGTACGCTTTGACAAGGTCGATTTTGGAGAAAATTTTAACCTCTGGCAAGTTGCTGGCGAAATCGTGAATATGCGGTATGGGGTATCGATCAGGTACCGTTTGCTTGTTTAAAGCTCGATAATCCCCGCATGGCCGTATCTCACCAGAAGACTTTTTGGGTACCATGTGCAGCGGTGAAGACCAAGAGCTGTTGGATGGTCGAATAATGCCGAGTTCTAACATTTTATCGAACTCTGTTTTTGCGATTTTAAGTTGGTTTGGGTCAAGGCGTCGAGGACGTGCAAAAACTGGTGGTCCAGTGGTTTTAATGTGATGAACCACTTGATGCTTTAGTTCTGTTGCTCGGAAAGAGGGTTGTAGAAGGTCAGGGAACTGATTTACTAAGTCAGTATATGGAGATGCTGGTTTGCGTGTGACCATCAAGTTCAGCGATGATGCACGGCTAATCGTACCAGCGATGTACCTTCTATTGAGCGAGTCTATAAGCTTAGGACTAACCGGATCAACTAGCAGTTTGTGTTGCTGTAGAAAATCTATACCAAGGATTGGGGATGGAACGTCTGCGATGATGAAAGACCAATGTAGGTATTCTGCAGACCAAAATCTAAAGTCATTCGTTTACTACCATATGTAACAATATTAGACTTATTAACGGCTTGGAGCGTAACTGCAGGGTCAGGATGTTGACGTTCCTGCGTAGTCGGAGGGAGAACACTAACCTCTGCTCCTGTGTCGACTAAGAACGTAGTACCGGTATTTCTATCTGTTACATAAAACAAACGACTGCTAGATCGTAGATTGCCAACAGTAGAAGTTTTCATACATGACGATATATCTTTTGGTTTAGTCTGAAAGTTGCAAGGTGAACGACACCGTCGTGCATTGTCTCCGTAACTACGGTGGTACCAGCAAATAGTATCGTGATGTCGTGACGTGCTGGGTGATCGAGAAAGACGTCGACGAGACGAGCTTCTAGAACGGCTTGGTCGTGTGCGTGTGGTCAGTGCTGCTAACTGACTCAGTACGGTGTTGACTTTGTGTTCTAGAGCCTGTATCCTGTCGTCAGTGTCTGGCATTCTGCTGGTGGAAGCAACAGATTGAGGTGTTGACCTCTCATACATGCGATCTGCGATTTTGGCAAGCTTCTCAATGTCAATGTCGTCATCTCCGTAAGCAAGAACTTGTTGAATGTTTGCAGGAAGTCGTCGCAACCAAATTTGGTAAAAGAGACGTTTGTCGATATCTCTTCCTGCTACTAGGCTTTGCATGTGCCTCATGAGTTGTGATGGGGTTTTATCGCCTAGCTCTACTTTGCTTAACAAACGATCGAGTGCTTGCCTATCCGAAAGTGAAGTGCATCGAAGTACTTCTTCTTTCAACTTGTCGTAAGGAGCGTCTGTGCTGGGCTGAACTATGTGTTGTCGAACCTGTTCGGCGATTTCGTCTGGTAGTACTGTACTCAATATGCCAAATTTAACCGTCTGTGACGTAAGCTTATTGGCAGTGAAATAATTTTCCAGTCGTGCAAACCAAAGATGGGAGTCTTTGGGCCTAAAAACTGGTACAGTAAGAGAAAGGGTACCAACAGATCCCAGCTGTAAGGTATCAGGGTATCGGAAGACATGATACAATTCGTAGAAAAATGGTTTAACAGTAACAAAATAGCAAAGATTATGCACACCAAGAATATGGCAAAACCGAAAAACATGCAATGCGGTGCTTACCACAGATTACTGCAAGTTGTGCGATGAGAAAGCACAAGAATGACCTCGAAATGTCTATTATATGTATATATATCCGATAAAGTTAGAGTTTAATTAATCCAGCAAGTGTAATGCTGCGTCCGGGTGAACAAAAGGTCGTTGGAGTCAACAAGTTATCGTCGAGGTGAAAAAATTGTCGTTGCGATGGACAATTTGTCGTCGGGGTCGAAATTTGTCGTTGGGGTCAACAATTCGTCGTCAGGGTGAACCAGTTATCGTCAAGGATACCAATTTGTCGTCGCTGTCGAAATTGGTCGTCGGGGTCGGGCTCACCAATTTTGTTGCGTGCGTTTTCTGACTAAACTGCTGTACACATATATTCTATGTATTTCTTCGCTCTTATTGATGTGCGCAGACGTTGTGGCTACTCGACGCCCACAACGTAAATCAAAAGGCACTTGTGAAGAATACGAATATGTATTGAAGCAGTAGTCAAATTCGAAATTGTGTCAAGGTAATATTCAACAGTGAATGGACAAGTATTTGCGAAGTATATATAAAATCAGTCTGTATACACATATAATGCAAGTATACAAATTAGATTAAAAAGCATGTTTACAGTTGGTATAGGGGTACTACAGATATACCGTCTGGACCAATAGTGTTACTAAGCTTAAGATTTGCGACAGCTTTGTCGATCTCATGTGTGGTGAAAATTATATCACTTAAATATTCATCTGTTTTACATGGGAAATCCGCGACCTCATCGTTCTCTAAGGTGTATAATCTGGTGAAGTGCTTGCTAAACAATTCACATATCACCTCAGTATTTTCTTAAGCAATGACGTCTAAATATATTATTTCCGGATATGCTGTTCTGGAGTTTGCCAACCTACTTTTGAAAAGTTTGGCTATTTCTCCTGAGTTATGCGGTGCCTGAATGGCCTGCATTTCTTTGTTTCTGAGGCCTATATTTCTCAACTCTTCAATTCTATTGATAAGGGACGTAATAGTAATTAATGATGATAAGTCATGATACCTGTAGTATTTTATTGAGTGCTTTCGTGGACTTCTCCTAAACGATATCGGAATATAATCGCTTAGGGGGAATCTGAAGCTAAGAATCTTCTCAGGTGCAATGACGTCATGAATTGAGTTAATATTCTGATAAAAGTTGTTAAGAATTGGCTCTAAGGACTCGTTCGAAAAGTACGAGTCCCAATTAGAACATCTAATTAGGTGCTGATACAAGTCCCAGTAAGCATGCGTGTGCAATCTCATAAGTGTCTGGCCAGCTTCATCTCTGCGTTTTGTCTCAGGAAAGATGTCAAAAGAACACACTACTATTTTATGGTCACTACCTGGAAATTCATGTCCCAAATCTACTGTAGATGGTGTCATGTTGTTCGTGAAAACAAGGTCTAGGATGTTTGAGCATCTAGTGGGTGAATTTATGTGTTGTGTCCACCCTCCTGTGACGATGGAATTCAGGAGATTATCATACCTTTGGGGTCCTTGGAGTGAAGACCATGGTACTTCTGGCATGTTGAAATCACCTCCGATAATTTTATAACTGAAGGGAAGATTGGCTGTAACATGAAAAATATTGCTGAGCATATTATCATATTCTCTGCTGGATGAAGGGGGTCGGTACACACAACCCACAAGTATAGGTTTACTTCTGACAACTTTTATTTCGACCCAGATCGAGTTATTGAGTTCTGACAGAATTGGGTGACTAAACTGGGTTGCACACATGGATTGTTCACAGAAAATCAGTGTTCCACCCCCAGGACCTCTCTCTGTCCCTTCGAAAAAGGGCGTGTCTGTCAACCCTTAGGCTGTCATTGGAGATTTCACTTGTGCACCAGGCTTCAGTGATCATAATCAATGACGGTCTGCATGTACTAAGTGTTTGCTTAGAACTGATCTCGTATTTACTAGGATAATATATAAACACTGTATATGTGGTTTCAGTGAAGGGACAACATCCTGATGAAATAATCCGTGAGTATTTTCTATATACATGTTATCAGACTCATTTACCAATATATTTGAATCATAGGAAGACTTCAGGTAGGTCTTTGAGGTGGTAGTCAGGGATGGTCTTTCGTTTGGATAGGGTATGCAGTGAGAGACACCTGTATGATAATCAGATAATAATATTTTAAAAATATTAGTACCCGCGTTTGGTGTCGACAGTGTGTCAGCTATCTCCCGGGAAATATGCCTTGCCCTAGCTGTAGACTGTTCGCTATGCCAGCAAGGAATTGATCTGATATCATGCGTGCTGTATGCATGATGCCAGGCGTTTCTGTTAACTGACGCTGGTGAAAATCCTACCTGAAGGTATAACCGATATGAGTATTCAGTAATTTGTTACCAGTATAAGAATGAAGTGTTGGTATCTGTTTCTGGTAGTCATCAGACCATAGCAAGTTTTGTGCATAAATGGACACATGCTCCCTACTAGATACATAAGGTGTATGAATGGGGTCTGTTGGCTTGCTAACTGTGGTCTGTTGCCGATGTTTGGGGGATTTTCTATAATTTTCAGTTGATAGAACATTAGAAATGGGCTGGATAACAAGAGGTTTACGTAGTGTATGCGCAGAATAATACCTACCACCTCACTGTGTTGTTTGTCTAGAATTAGTGGTTGGATATAATTGGCTTTCCACTTGACACCAATTAGGCCTACCCCTAGGAATTTGGTCCACCACATTCGCTATGTAGTGTTCCTGCTGCTTGGACACCTCATGAGCTTTAGTTTTCTCAATGGAAATGGGACGTTTGTCATAACGCCTAGAAAACTTGCCAACTTGGGTAGCTACATTCGACTGGTACTTCACAGTGTGTAAATTATCAGACTGAGGAGTAACTGACTTATAAGGGGATGGGTGAAACACCAGTGGGATGGGTTTTGATGGTTTCGGGCTCTTGACTTTTGCGTCAGTGTGAAAACCATGTATTTCAACATTATGTTCTGTTGACTCATCTATGTCCATCATTTCAGTGTCAGCGTCAGTATCATTATATAATACTTGGCTAATATTTGTCTGTGCCTGTGAAAATGTCTGATGCATACGGTCCTCAGGTATTTCACTAGACGAAATTACTCATGGAACGTCATTTACAGTTGTCCTATTAGAGTTATCAGCATTCAGTGTTCCTGAGCGTCATCGTCTTTGGCATGGTGTTAAGTCAGGTGCAACCCTAATGTTAGTGTAAGGTATTGAAGAGCCTATCGTCTTACCAGATTTCAGAAAATTCCTGGCTTCTTCAGTAGACCTAAACTTGAAAAGCACCGGACATGAATGGTTTGCAGATTTCTTACGAATACGCAAAACCTGACATTCTGTCAACGACATATTACAAGCCTTTAGACACGAAGTCTTAAGTTTGGCAAAAGGCTCTCTGTCTGGAATGTTATAGGCCGAGATGTTATGTGAAGACATAATCCTCTTAACAGCTTCTTCAGCCATATAGTCAATTATGCGCTCGGATTTGATAGGTGATTCAAGACAGATGTTTTGTGATGGGTTGCACAGTCGCATGAGAGGCATAATGCTGTCAAACTTGCTCTGTAGTTCTGCTATTGACTTCTGAAGTGTCAATAAGTCATTTTTGCTACAAGCCGCATTCTCTGTCAGTTCCTCCATGATATCAGATACCATAACTCTGGGTGTGGCTGGTGTAAAAAGTGTAGAATCGTCAACGGAGCTGAGGCCTTCAGATGGTTGGCTAGTATTAGATCTCAGTCTCCTAGTGGTACTTTCACGTTTGATAGTCTTAACCATTACAGAAACAAGAATTTTCACAATTTCCGGAAAAAAGTCTTGAGGATATAAGAAAAAATAGTTGTATTATCGAAGTGTCAGAACAACAACGATAAACAGATATATATCGCAAAAGAAAGTCAAACTTTCCTTTACAGAGTTTGCTGTGGATAAAGTCCTGAGTTCCACGTGGTTAGAGAGGGTATCCGAAGATTCCGGTTGTAAATTTCACGAGTGAATACTACAGTTGAATCATTACAATCCTTATTGAGTATGGATATGTGGATAATGTGAGGAAAGCGGCTAATTTCCAAAATATTAAGGAAAGATGATTCACGTAGAAACTGAACAGCTGTAGCGAAACAGTCCAGTACTTAAAAAATACAGAGATAGAAATTGTCAATCACCACATGTCGAATGTCTCCTTGCATATTTATAATGATGTCTCGGTTTGCTTGCAAGTCTCTGCGATCTTCTAACTGATTCTGTGATATTATTTTCATCCTGATAGATGCTAGAAGACTTATTCCGGCGAGCTCCGAATTCAATGAGGAGCGAAAGCTGCACAAGAGGAAACTTACGAAAAGTCTCCGCAAGGACCGTGAACAGTGGTGGGCGACAAAAGCCAAAGAGATGGAGAAAGCTTCGAGGATAGGTAACACCAGGCAACTATTTAGACTCATCAGGGAAACGGGTGGGAGAAGACAAATCATCAGTGAGACAATCTCGGAAAAAATGGCACTATAATTAGCTCCCAGGATAGACGACTGGATCGTTGGAAAGAGCATTATGAGGAGCAGTTTAATTTGCCCACAGCCACGCTCAACCTTCCGAGCATCCAACACCTCCCTGAATGGGATATAAACACAGGTCCTCCGTCACTAACTGAGGTTACTAAAGCTGTCACCAATCTGAAACTAGGCAAAGCAGCGGGACCTGATGGAATGACTCCAGAGGTATTTAAGTACGGTGGAGACAGCTTACTGTCCGGATTAACTGAGGTACTAGGCAGCGTCTGGGAATCAGAAGAAGTCCCATCGGGTTGGTGTAAGTCACTGATTATCCCCATATACAAGAAGGGAGACAAGTCTTCCTGTGATAATCACAGAGGGATTAGCTTGACTAATATGGTATCTAAAGTCCTAGGCTCAATAATCATGCGTAGACTAAGTGGTCCATGGGAGGCACAAACACGAGAGAGCCAGGCTGGCTTTAGACCAGGAAGAGGGTGTATTGATCATATCTTCACCCTCCGACAGATTCTAGAACATAGGCATTCCTACCGGCGTCCAACAGTCATTATATTTCTTGACCTAAAGGCAGCATTCGACTCTGTCGATCGGGAAGTTCTCTGGAGATGCTTGGCTGTAAAGGGAATTCCAAGAAAATATATTGCACTGATTAAGGCACTCTACTCGTACTCATACAGCCAGGTGAGGGCTTACGGCGAGCTGTCATCTGAACTGATGACGACCAGTGGTGTCCGTCAAGGATGCCCATTATCTCCTTTTCTATTCAACTTCATCATAGATGTGTTAATGGACTTAACCCTAGGTGACTTCAGCGACTCAGGGATTGACTTGCTACCGGGGAATAATCTCGTTGACTTGGAATATGCAGACGATATAGTCCTTCTAGGCGAAGACGCTGACGAAATGCAGAGTCTTCTAAACACCTTGAGCGCAATCTACGAATGTTTGGCATGCGATTCGCTCCCGCCAAATGCAAGATGATGTTACAGGACTGGACTACATCGACGCCTAGTTTAAAAATAGGAAGTGAAGTGGTAGAGCACGTTGACCGCTTCACTTATTTGGGAAGTACCATCAGCCCCAACGGGCTGATCTCTGACGAAATCTCAGCACGAATACAAGGGGCTCGTTTCGCATTTGTTAGTTTACGCCGACTCTGGCGTAGACGAGATATTCGACTATCGACCAAAGGGCGGGTGTACTGCTCATCAGTCCGCTCCGTCCTCCTTTATGGTTGTGAGACCTGGCCACTGAGAGTGGAAGACATGAAAAGACTAGCTGTCTTTGATCATAGGTGCCTGCGCTCTATTTCCCGTGTAAAGTGGCATAATAAGGTGAGCAACATTGAGGTTAGGCGTAGAGTTCTAGGTAAACAGGGGAAATCAATCGACGAAGTCGTGAAGCTACAAAGACTGAGATGGTTAGGACATGTGTTACGTATGCCAAGCCATCGCCTCCCTCGACAATGGGCAATGTTAGCGGATATAGGGTCAGGCTGGAAAAAAGCTAGCGGCGGTCAAACAAAAACTTGGCATCAGTCAATGAAATCCACAACAGTTGGTCTAAGCCACGTAGAAAGGTGTAGACTTCCAGGCTGGGGTCCTCGGGACGGTAAAAATCTATGGTTGGAAACAATTGGTGACATGGCTCAAAACCGTTCTCAGTGGCGCAGATGCATCCACTCCCTGTGACTTATGATCTTCAATGAAACTGTTTTGTATTTCTTTATTACTCCTTTGTCTCACACCTCTGCTCACTGTTTCTATTATGCTTTTCTTGTACTTTCTTCTCTTGCTTCGCGTGCTACACGGAATGTGGCGACTTGAACTTCCGCACATTTGTGCAAAGTTCTATGTCGAAAACAGACAGAGACAGACTGAACAGAGCAACAGACTTCACACTTCAACCTCTTCTGCCACACTAAAACTCTTAGTTAGTCTACCCCCCTCTACGTCCAATCAGTCCCAGGCACACACGGACACTGAGTCATGTATTTCAGGAGTAATTCTTTTTAATGATTTAATTCATCAGGGTGGAAACAGACAACTACTCGTCCACGAAGCAACATTCTGCTACAAAGTTCGAAATCGCACCTACAAGGTGATGGGAGCTATCCCTACAATCTCTTAATGAAGACAACTTCGTTTTCCTAGTGTATAACATCCAAAATACTCCCATTACTTGATTAACAGTAAAGCTAAAAGTGCAGGTAGTTAAGATTAAAAATGCAATATTTCTATCAGAAATCAGACCTTGAGTCACATTTGACTTTCACCCAGTTATTGTATGCGGTCCAGGTGATAGACTTTGCGTAAAGACTGCTAGAATGAAATTATGCTGTCGTATGAAACAGAAATCTGAACTGACACTGAAGTGCTCGGTCGCTTTCCCAACAATAAAAAAAACTACTTAAAGCGACACTGTATTTGACGATTGAACTGAAACCCAGTTTCAGAACATGTCATGATGAATGGTGTTACAGGTCGTAGGAGTCCTGACTTTAACATTAACTCATCGCGAAGTACACAACGCAGAGACAACATTCATACATTTGCTGATAAATTACAAGTTAAGCAACAAGATAAATAAATAAGACGACTCAAAAATATTATAAAATCACATACCTGATTACAAGCTTTCGTAGACGGAATTGTAGGTTTTGGTGCAAAAGTGTATAAAGCAGGCAAATAGTGAGATACTGCTAAGAGATTGTTTCGGACTAAACGCGTTACGATAGATAACCAAGGCCACGTTACTCCGTTGAGAATGGAACAGACACAGGTTGCAACTGGTAAACCACCAACACTTAAACAGGAGGAACTCGTATTTTCGAAGATAGAGTGTTTAGAAGCCGGTATATACACACCCTCGTTATACCATAAATTCCAATCTGGAATTAGCCGTTTCCCAGCAATTGCTGAGCCAATCTGTATAGCACTGGGAAACATATCGGTTGCATTGACTTTTTTGTCTGCAAATGAACGCCAAGTTGGGCTGGCATAAAATAGTGAACTAAAATGTTTGTTATGACCACCAGTTAGTAATACATTGGATCCATCAGAAATTTCATCTCGTGATAAGCAATCCCCTTCATTCATTCTCTTAGGCAACATCTCGCCACCATCACCACTGTATAGAGACCTACTAGGGAACGTTTTTGAACGAATAAAAGCGGACTCATCAGTCTCACGAAAACCTTCAGGATTGGACCTCACTTTTGAATTAGTTCTGGCTACCTGTTCCAATCTCTTACTGGATATATCTTCAAGGGACACTGGACATCTTGCAATATGCTTTAATTGACGTAGACGTAACTCGAAAGCCCATCGATTTTGTGCAAATAAATCTTGATGAGCTATTAAATTCAAGGCAACTTGAGCGCTAAAACATAAAGGTACAGAAAATAAGACTAAATTTGAATGGAAATAGAACCTGAAAAATAAAACAATTAGGTAAATTAGTAGAATAAAATTAACATTTTTGTGATCCTAATTTTCAAGATAATCACATAAAAGAGTACTACTAGACTATATATTAAGCAGTGACTGACGAAATGGTAAATCAACAATGAACTTCACAAAAGTTGCAACATTTCACAAGTTGTCAAACTTCATAAGGCGACCATACTACAGAAGGCCAAACATGCGTATGATGACGAGAAAATTCAAAGAAGATTCATGGAACTCTCACAAAGTTGAAGGTCGATAAGAAGTGAATCCATCTAGCCGGAAACATGTCATCTTTTTATTCATCCTACTTTTACTAACCACGTCGCACAGCCCGATATGACACCTAAAGTTGAAGATGCTTAGGTTTTAGCAACAACCACTGCATTGGAGCTGTTAAACTCCCAACTTAACATATTTCATCATTTCACTCCTTATTTTCAAAATAGGAGTTGGTGCAGATGAGTTCTATAGTACTGTTTCAAACTTTATATGTTAAGTATACCAACGGTTTTTACTAAAGCAGTTCAAAAGACTACGCGTTTTTCAGTGCATTTAACCAAGAGAATTATATTGTTTGAGTGTTCTATCACTTACTTGATTAATTAACTACATCAAAGTTCAAACGACTCACCTTCATCAGTAAGCATTTAACAAAAGCATGTAAAAGTGGGGACTAAGTATCCATAATGGGCAATACTTAGCTGAGAACGCTTGAGGTGACAACTCTCTTTAAGCCACAGTACTGTCTACTTGTGTTCGAGTAGAATGCCTTGGTTAAAAATACTATCACAACTCTGGATCAACGAATTCGAATGTTGCCATTAGGGTATAAATTATGGTTATCATAGGATGTCTGTGTTCCAGGAGCTGTCAGGAAATGTAGATTTGATAATCTGGTCTACGTATCAATACTGATTATTTCTCTCGAATATACCTTTCCTAAACCCCACTGAGTCTGTGTATGACTGTGGAGATACTAGGCAAGCCTGGTCAATCATCTGACTGTCACAAATAGACTCGCTAGTTTTTCAACTATGTACATCAGTTTAATAGAACAATCTGCAACTCAGTACATTAGTCAATTCAGTAGAAATTTTACGAGACGATTAACTCAATCGGCCAGACCATACAGAACTCAATACATGCTGCTGATGTTTTCCAACTTACTCGACTTGCTAACTTGAAGACTTAAATGACCTACTGACGACTACGTTGGGATATTTTGCTTTTTGCTGCAAGCTGAAAACTTGATAAAATTTGTTTTTTACTCCTAAACAACTATCAGTGTTTTTGTAAGCACAGATCACGAAAAGATAACCGTAAGTACCACGGCATTTTTCTACATCTAAGCCTCACCTGAACAGTGCAATATTTATCGCAGAACTAAATGCTGTGTTCATAGTTATAAGATAAAGACAACTAGCAATATAACACCCAGACATTCACAAAGTGAATTGTGAACACATTACACCAGTTTCGATTACCGTAATGTGGATTCGAAGTTGGGAAATTTGAAAATGTCTATAAAGCCTAAGACACTTCCACTTGTAACTAGTTACACGAACTGATGGACTCTGAGGGATGTTATATAGAAAACCTTACAGTCATCTTCATAGCATGGTAGATTTAGTCAGAATACATAATATTTAAAGTCGATTTTTTCACTATCTCTTCCAATGAAAAGGGTAGAAGGCTGCTTTTCTGATTATCAGAGGGGTACACCTACCTGCCATAGAACTCAGAAAACACAATAGTTCAAAAGTTCACATAAATACAAGTTACAAAAACAGGTGATAAGTTTATAGGTAGTGTTACCAATATCATTATTTCCTTAAGTTTTGAGGGGAACATAGGGATTCAACAGCACATCTTTGTTTTATTCTGTTCTCTGGGGTCCTTTGAAGCTGGCATTATGATTACCTATGAGCTTCCATTTCCTCCCCACAATATTTCATTGTCACCCTCGGACCAACATAAAACTCATTGTTTGCTATTCGGGTTTCAATTCGTGGACTCGGTGTGGTGTTAGTCAACGATCTCCACATAGTGGGCTTAATCCATCTCCATTTCCTTCGACATGTCTGTTAGGCAGTAGGTTATTGGCAGTTGCATTGTCAAAGTTTCTTGTTGCTAATTGTTTCTGGTGATCTGATCTTCACTATCGAGCAAAGGTAATTGTTCATAAAAGCTTGCAGCCAGTTGGAAAAGCCTTTCGTAATACGCCAACTCTTTAAAACATATAGAAGCACTAAATTGACATTAGCGTTGAAAACTGGAATCTTGTTCCTTATGGTGAGTGCAGTAGATTTTCAGACTGGTTTCAAATTATTGAGTCTGTCTTGCCTTTCCCACCCTGCGCCTTTGACACATTTATCTGTGTTGCCTGTAGTAGAAAACACACTGCCTAAAAAAGTGAAGGAGATAACCCCTTTCTAATTTCTCCCGTTGATAATGATCGGTGCTTCTGTTGGTTAAATAGCTTTATCACCTATGTCTTCTCTATGTTTACCTGAAGTCCTGTTTTCGCTGCCTCTCTTACCAATTTGCTGGTTTTCGCATGTAGATCTGAGTCTGTGACATCAGATATAAGTCGTTCGCAAAGTAATCATCTCCTAGAGTCTTCTAGTCGGCCCAACGTATTCCTGTTTTTTCATTCCCCAAGTTATGGTATGCAACATGATTGAGTCTACCCCAATCATCAATGATAGTAGGCAGTTTTTACTGGTAGTTGAGTCAAGTGTGATTGTAAGCAATAAACCGTGCATCAACCAGTAAACAAAAATGTATCAGTGTTAGCACCAATTAAAGTTCCACAGAATTTGATATGACAACCAATAAATCTGTTAGCTCTGAATAAATAAGAAATGACCAAGAACAACAGCAAGGCAACTTACTAACTGCATAAATGGAATCGCTGACTGATACATAATAATTCAAATTGATACACACGAGCTTCTTTAACAACTCCCAGAAGAGTATATAATTCAGCTGTTTGACGACAGCCATATAAAAGTAATCTTGTCCCCAACCACAAATTGAGTAATTCGTTGTCTAAAAATACAAATAAGACAGAATTATTCGTGTTGTTTATTAGTAAGGAAATTTTAGAAGGAAGCCAGAATAAAAATGACACTGACAATTCTATAAGCGACTTTCAAAAGTTATTAGATAAAACATGAAAGTAAATAAATGTGAGAAAAGCATTCTTACAGAATGACTAATAAAAAAAAGTAATTCACCTCATTCTCAAATAGATTACTTTCTCTATGAAATGAACATTAAGACTATAAGTACCATCGAAAAATACATCATTTCTCCGCAGTCATGAATATATGATTTTGACCCTACTTCACCATGTATACACTTCGTATCGCTCTGCATTACTTAAATATAAAATCGTTTCCTACTTAATTACAAAACATTCGAAAGAGTAAATAATCTGCACCGAAGTTATGTTGCAACAAACGATTTATTAGAATACTTATACACACCATACAGCATTGATGCAGACTACTTATTTGCACACTGTTCCTCAGTATATACATTGATAGCAAGTGTACAATTTAAAAAAAAATAAAAATCCCAATGTATGCAGATGCTTAAAAATGTACTAGTACGAAGAGGTGAAAAACAATACTCCTAACAGAACTGAAAATTATTGCAACCGTCGTTGTTTCCAATTGGTTCGACGTGAGATTTAATATCACTTCAAGAAAAATTTTCTGACTTGCTGAATCGCAATGTAGAACTCAGTGGAGAAATGCATGAGTATAAGTTGCTGCACCGAGAAAAAGTATAGAAAAGAAACCTATTGAGACAATGGATGATGACTGGCAGAGAGATTAATCGAATGATCCATGAAAATTTTAAGAATCTGAAAATGACAAGCAATAAGCACATCTACATCACTGTGAATTACTATGAGCCACAAAACAGTGTGTTTCCAACCCCTGATTCTTGACAACGTATGAAATAATACCAAAATTAATTAGCAAAATCTCATAGATAATAAGATAGACTTATACCTGGTAATAAAGTGGACGACCAAGCAGTGGTTGCTAAATCTGGGTCTGAAAATGGAGACTTTACTTTATTGTGGTTACTGGCTGGATCTTCGTTTTCTTTTTCCTCAACAGTCGAAGATTTAATATTCTTATCAGAACTGTAGCGACTCTGCAACTTTTCATCACAAGATTGACGCATATATTTTACCAGGGTTTGACCATGCATACGGACAACAGCTGCAGCATGTAATGGGGATAGAGAGGGTGGTGGAAAATTTTGGTACGTATCTGAGCAATCTACGGTAGTGGGTAGTTCGAAATTACCACCAAATATACAGCGAGCATGAAGATGAAACCAGTAGAAGTAGCCACGAGCACACACAGAAGCCCACGATTTCCCCTTGAAAAACTCCAGATGATCCAGTCGAATAAGGTCCAAACGGGCAGAGAAAGCAGGCCACTTAAACAACAATAAAAGGACATTTTACTAATCATTAAGCTATATCGCCAAAAAAAATGATGCTTGTTTACATGCCACACAAAATATACACAATGAAACGAAATTTTAAGGACTAAAAAACGGTTATGTGTACTATGCAAAAGTCACATTGAGTAAACTCTTAACTTACATGTGAAGGAACTAAAAAGCATAAACATGGATGATATTGTGCGTTTTTATCACAGCTTAGTTAAGTAGCTAAGTAAAAGCTACCGAAAAGTCTCCTTCCTTGTCATACAGAACTGATTACGAAGAAAAAGAATTATTAGGAATACTGAGCTATACAGGACACCAATCACTGACACGGTATATAAGGCAGGCATATATTGTGTTAATCATAATCTATCGATTAGCAGCTTATTATTATTGTTTCCTTTAATTCTTGGAGGAACATTGGGCTTCAGCCACATGTCCCCATTGCGTTCGGTTCACCACCAACGTTTTCATCTGCTTTCACGTCTGCCCACATGCTTTCATCTCCCTTTTGCATGACATCTTCCATGTCCCCCTCTCACTGACAACCAACTCGCTGCTTCCCATTCGAGTTCCACTTGAGCATTGGGCCGGCGTGTGATGCCACTTGATGCTTTTCTCAAAGTACAGCCAATCTACCTCCATTTCTTCCCTCATATTTGTTGCACAATTGTTTTCTGCTGAGTTCGTTCGTTAACTGCCAGAGATCCCACCCTGTTGCTGATCTTTTCTGATCGACCATCTGATTTTGAGTGGTGTTGAGCGAAGGCAGCTGTTGATAAAAGTGTGCAGTTTGTTCGGAGTGTTCTTCGTGACGCGCAGTGCAAGTCTCTGATCCATAAAGTAGCACTGACTTAACATTGGAGTTGAAAATTCGCATCTTATTTTCATTTTCATGCTGAGCGCTGTTGACCTCCACAAAGACTTGAGAGTGATGAAAACTTCTCTCGCTTTCCCGATCCTCTCTCTTCTCGTCAGTTTCGTCCCCCTGTAGTTGAAACGATGCTCCCCAGTTAGGAAGGTAGGTGAAGCGGGTGGCTTCTCTCAGACTCCTCCCATTCATGCTGACTGTTGTCTGTTGTTGCTGTTGGCCAGGAATCTTCATCACCAAATCTGTTTTTTCTGTGTTCACCTGAAGGAGGTTCTATCTTTGATGTTTCTTCCGTCAACTTGTTGCTTTTCACTTGCATATCTTCCAGTTTGTGGGAAATCAGACACATATATGTTACCGGCGAAGTCCATATCCCCCAAGTGTTTTGTGTGGGTCCATTTTATGCTTGTCTACTCGTTGACCGACCTGCTGTCTGCCGCACTATCAAGTCTACGTCAATCAGGAAAATCATTGGTGACAGCAGGTAGCCAGCCAGCCTTGTCTTACTCCCGTCTTCACTTCTTCGAAGGATTCCGTGAGTCTCCCGTCGTGGATTATTTAGTATGCAGCATTGTCGTACAACTGTTGGATGGCTGAGGTGTATAATTGTTGGCGGCACTCCGTAGTTGCCAAATCACCTCTCGATCGACGCTGTCGACGGCCTTTTCAAAGTCGATGAAGTTGAGATAGAGAGGTGACTCCCATTCCAAGCTTTGTTCAATGATGATCCGTAGATTGGCGATTTGATCAATACATGACTTGTTTCTCCTGAATCCAGCTTGTTCCAGTCAAAGTTTTTCATCCAGGTTGGCTTGTTTGATTCTCTCCAGGATGATGCGGCTTAGTATTTTGCTTGGGATGGACAGTAGCATAATTCCGTGCCAGTTTTTGCATTGACTTAAGTCTCCTTTCTTTGGCAGTTTGAATAAGTATCCTTTCTTCCAATCCTCGGGTACCTCGCCCTCTTTCCACACCTTCTCCAGTAGTGGCGTCATCAAGTCCGCTGTTGTCTCTGGGCCTATTTTCAGTGCTTCTGCTGGGATTCCATCTGGTCCTGCTGCTTTTCCAGCTTTTGACATCTTGATTGCCTTCAGGACTTCTGTTCTCGTAGGGGGGGGGCTGATGTTAACTGGTAGTTCTGCTTCTGTTGTTGGTATTGTTGGGCAAGTTGTAGGTGGCGGTCGACTTAGTAGTCTTTTGGAGTGTTTAGCCCAGTGTTTCCTTTGCTCCACCTCTTTGGTGATTGACTTCCTATTGTGATCCTTCACTGGCTTAATTTGTGTCGAACTTTTGCCCGAAAGGTACCTAGTTGTTTGGTGGAGTGTTGCGAGGTCTCCTTTGCCTACTGCCTGTTCTGCTCCACTTGCCATGGCTTCATAATATTTTCTTCTGTCTTCCATGGCACTCTTCTTCACTCTTTTGTTCAGCGTATTGTAGTTTGTATTCAACTCCTGTTTTTGTTGCTCGTCGGTGCACTGGATAATCTTTTGTTTGACTATCCTTCTCTCTTCTGTTAGTTTCCAAGTGTCCATAGTGAGCCACTGTTTGTCCTGTCTCTTCTTCCTGCCTAGAACTTCCACGCAGGTTTGACTCCACACCGTTTTCAAGTTGTCCCAGTGCTTTTCGAAGCCGACCTCTTCGCTAGTGTTGATTTGTGTCTCTGCTTTTTCCCTTATCCGTGCAGTGAAGATATCCTTATGATATGTAGCCACATGACGTGTGACAGTCTATTATATTTTGCTATGTGTATATGGATCGATATTTCATTATAACTGACAATATGCTTTTGTCTGTCCACTAACTAAATAAACATGTATGACCTTGTTGTCACATGACATTACAACCAATCATGTCTAGACTGTCTATTTATTGGTTCACGTGTATTAGCCATTTTCATATATACTTTTGTATTAGACACTTGTTCATAATTGTTCCCACGTTTCTTACACTACGTGCCATTTCACTCACACTCTTGTGTGACAATTATTTTCCTTGTCTGGAAAATACAAGTATCATCGTAAACCTGGTGGTCTTCTGATTTCCCTATTTCCGCGTCAGGACTATTAACTACTCGACGAGTACATAACATAATTGGCGACGGGGAAAACTACTATTAACCACTCAGCAGCAGTACATAACACCTTTGTATCCTGGTCCTTCAGTTTTTGAGTGTTGAACTTGGCTTGTGGTCTATTCGCAGCTCCTGTTTCTCCGAAAGCTTTTAATTTGATTTGGATTGTCCCTTGTACACGATAGTGGCCTGAGCCAACGTCTGCTCCTCTTCTAACTTTTGTGTTCAGTAGGCTGCGCCTGCACTTCCTTGAGATTGAGATGAAGTCAATTTGGTTTTTGGCCCGCCCGTCTGGTGACACCCATGTAGCCTTGTACTTGTATACGCTGCCACCAATCACTAGTTCATTGAAGGCACAGAAATCAGCGAAGAGTTCTCCGTAATATGGCTACTGATCTCAATGACACCATATTGTCTATTACTGGACGCTGTCATAAGCTGGAATAAAGCAATTAGCAGGCATCTGTGGACCTAGACTTCATAGCCATTTGCAGATATCGGTAGGAGATACGTGTAAGCCTGCGTAAATTCATTCAGACATGAAATATTTTATAATTAAGCTATTTATGTCTGAATGCATTTCCAACACTTCATTTTATATTTTATTTATTCGTCTAGAAAGATATATTACCCTTTGTCAGGTCAAAACAAGTTTAGAAAAAAAAACTATGAAGACAGTTGAAGGATCTACTGAATTATTTTTCGCAGGTCATTTAACCAGAACTATTTTTTGTTGATGACTTACAAAACTCGTCTCGATATTGTCGTATTTCATCTTCGATCTGTTAGTTATTTTTACTATAATGTCTGATTATGGTCTATACAAGAGTGAAACAGCTATCTAGTACATCCTGGTCTTCTGAAGTTATTTCGTGATTAAAACTGAAATTGATTTAATGCCTACAAATTAACACTTGAAAACCGCATATGTGCTAATGGGCACATGGTATGAAAGTTAATAATACTTGGCTCTCAAGAGCTTGGAAGATGAACTGGGGTTCGAACTCCAACAAACTGGTTGAAATCATAATGTCACATTTAGTGAGATTCAATAGGAAGTTCATCTTCAATTTCCTAGACTTTCAAAAACTGTTTTATGTGCTGTCTTCTCTCATTCTTGTTTTTATGCTGCTATATAATAGCGAATGAGAGTCACTTTACTTATTTACAAAATCTACCTGATAAAGTGTTAATTGTACAGTCGTCAAACGTTCAGTGAACTATCGTTTACAGGTCATACAGTCCACATGTAGCCACTATTACAACAGGATACCGAACTATTTAATTAAAATCATAATTGTAAAAGTTTATAAGTAAGGAATAAAAAGGGGGAACCCTTAAAGTAATCAAACCAAGATTTCGGTGATGTATAAAACCTAACTAGTTAGATGAGTATCACTAAGACAACAAGAGGAAATAATATTCCTGTCCATATTTCCATCTTCATATCTCAGTATCAACAAGGTGTCAGGCCTACATAGAACGGAATCTATTGCAAATATTCTTTATTTAAACAGTGACTTGCACTAAACAAGCTTCCAGTTAATAACATTTCCTGAAGAATAACCTGTAGCTATGCGTTACCAATGATACAGTTGGCTGATAACATTTAGATGACAATTCATTTCAGAATGGCCAACAACAAATAATACTAAATCACCGTCTGTTATCTGATGTGTAGGATTTACAGTGTTTTAGAACACTACCTTTCTATGGGATGAATGACAGTTAATGGGTAAAATAAAATATAACCGAAGAAGTTATAATTTGATAGTTTGAACTTACATCACAATAGTGTTCGATATAAGCCCTTCCTAAAGATATAATAACTGACTGGAAGTGTGCGTGTGGAGTAGGTAGTCTACCTGTTACACAGGCTTCATGTGAGGACTCCAGAATCTCTTGACTATTTTGAAGAACCATTAGAACCTCGTTACGAACTGATTTCAAAATATCATACACCGAAACGTTTTCTTCGTGTGAGAAAACTTTTGAAAGGGCGTAGTTTACTAAAGCATACGAAGCATCCAAAAATCTTCCAGAATTGTCAGATATTGTAAACATTATTTTCCATATTGATGACGACACTTCAAACTTCAAAAAAAATAACAGGCAATAACGTTTAGTAGAAATCATAATACTTGAAATGCATTTAACTGATACACATCATTGAATTATCCGGTTATTAGAATGTCAAAAGTTTGTAGTTAAATGAAGTCTTTAGTGAAGCACATTTTTTTTTAAATAAATAGCGGTTTCTCTACACGTTGATGGACTATTCATAAAGTTTAGATATGCGACTCAACATTTTTAGTGATGCATTGAATCATCCATTCTAAGTGACTCAATTCGGAATGAAATTCATTTTGTAAAGTATACTAATAAGAATATTACCAAAAGCAAGATGCTTACTATGTTAACGTGACTCTTAGCTTCGGCAGATTAAACAATAAAGGCTTCAAATGATGTCACAACAAAGATTATCGTTTAAAGTACAGTTTCCATGGCAGAGAATGCGTCTTCATAAAACTACCAGACAAGGTTGATTAAATCATGCAGATAAAAGCTCTGAGGCTTCAGTCAACCATAAAGCACACATTCTACAGCACATACCTTTTCTTTACACCGTGAAGATTTTCAATTCCTGTGCCTAGGATCAGACTGAACTATACTTCAATACATCTTAAAGTTCACCTGCAGTTGCCAGGCTAAATACATGTTTAGAAGCAAAATGACGTTCCAATGCCGTCCAAAAAAGCTTTTGAATGGTTATTAGGCCACAGAAAATCCAAATGTATTTAATAAGGACAGAAATCCAGCATCATCCATTGAGAAGTAGTTACTAAATCTTGGTCACAAAGTCAGTTCTTACAACTTTCTATCAGTCACTTCCTAACAAATGTGGCAGGAGCACATACATTTCATACTTTGTACAAAGAAACGGACCTCAGCCTTTGTCTGATTATGACTACTTAACCCACTACATTAGTTTCCAGTGTGCGCTTTTAATTTGGACTGATTCCCAAACACTTTATCCAATGATTTCGAAGCATACTGATCGTGCAGAAACTACGAAGTGATGCCATTTAATAACACCTGTCTTCTTCATACCTTGCTCAGATTTATTACGCGTCTGGTAAATCCAGATAAGTCGCCTACAACGATTTGATATCTCATAACCAGACTCACTTTTCAAAGTAATTTATCGGCCTTGTCAGCTGGAAAAGAAATATAATATGCAGAAACTCACAAGGTTCAAACATGAGGTCAGGATCCCAAATAGTTCAATTCGTGTTAACAATGGCCGAACAGAAGGGATAGACTGGTTCGACACATCTTGCAACGATTTTAAACAAATTTTAATCTGCTTTATCATGCGTCTGGAGTTGTAAACAGTAGGTAGGCCAGCATAAGCCTCTTCCATCTGTAAGAATTCACAACCCAAGGCTACAGGGTTACGAGTAAAGCCCAGTTTAACAGTGCTACGAGATATTGACTGAAGCTAGTCTGTTAGATTACAATAAACAAACTCTCACCAGCGTGGTGCACTTCGAAAACTCAGCGAAAAACCCATCCAACGAAAACAGCTGGGGCTCCATATTTTGAAACTGGCGGTTCAACTTGCAGACTCCACTACTGAAAGAATTAAAGGAACATTCGATGTTGTTTTAACAAAGTGAAATTGTTGCATATACTTGTAAGAGAAACAAAACCCATTTTATCACACTATTTGTTTTTACTTTATTTATATTATTTTATTTTCTGTACTTGCAGAAAGACACCCGGGAGTCAACTGCCTGGACCAGGAGATACAGGAGTTGCAGAGCCTAAACATTAATGAAGCCCAGTAAAACTGTTTTATCCTAAGACTGTACCCCCACACTTTTTAAAAGTCGATTTGGTGGAATAAACGCTCTCCTGCAAAGTTCGTGTTCTGCTTTAATTACCTGTATGCATGCTGGTTTGCCTGTTAGATACGCAGTATTTGTAGCTTTGTAGTTGGTCGTCGTGGAGGTTTGATGACAATTCATTTTTTCCGGATACTTGCTAAATGAGATTTTTCATGACACACATATTTTCGTTGACATTATAATCTTGAAATGCATTATACTTCGTGCACGCTTATCCAAAAATAATACTTCACACCAATGTCTACAAAGTATAGTGGATTGAAGGAAGCAGTAAGTACAAAAGTTAGACCTATGTAATTGAATTTTCATGATATCATGCTAATATATTTAGACCTATTTATTGAAATGTCCTAATACCCACCAGATAAAGGTGGCACTAATTCGAAGATTGTTATGTCACATGATCTCTTGCTTTTACGAAACAATGCAGACAGAACTGACGTATGCGCACTTGATTCTTTGTTATAAAGTAAATACTTACGTCTGCTTTCCGGTAGACGGCTGTGTAGCTTGTTCTAAAATTTACTTTCGTAGATTGGATTGTCTCCTGTGGGAGTAATTCAGCGATTGGTTCCTAGTGTGCTAGGGCCGTGTTGTTGCTGTGAATAAACTTCATCCTTTCACCTTTAGTCGAAAATGGAGATATTAATAGTGGATATAACAAGTGCAAATTGTGTAAGCTTAAAAAACGTACAAAAAGACAAAGAGGATATAGGCAGAAATAAACTTCATCAGCAGTTAAGTGAGCGAATGACCTGGGAGGGTAGTAAGAAGAATGATATGCGAATATGCGAATAGTAAGTAATAGAATGCGAATATGCAGTAGTAAGGCAAGACCTTAAATATATACCCAATAATAGTGAGGTGGGACGCAATCCTTGTGTCGCCACGTGATTGTCAAGCCTCTGCTTGAAGGTTCTTACCGACGGTCTATTAGCTGCATCTACCGGTGAAGACTTCTACAGGCAGCAAACTCTAAATAGAAAGAAATGGGAGATCACTCGAGTCTTTGATCTCCAATGCTCTATCCTTATGGACTGCCACGAGGAAGCCCATGATGACCAATTCACAGAACACCTATGTTTGCGTGCTTTTATTCATTTGTAATTTTGTGAGTAGTAATCAGGTCAACCCTTAATCTATGCCGCTGAGTCTAGGAAGACGTAATTTCTGTGGCTTTTCATCGCATGGTTTATTCTGGAGAACCACCAGCCCTTTGGTAATATGCGTCTGGATTCTTTCCGAAAGATTGATGTCACTTCTTAGTGTTGACGGGGCGACCATACTGAGCAACTAAAGATATGGTCTTGCGCATGTTTCAAGCCGCACTTTTCTGACGGAAAACATCATGTTTAGCTGTGTCAAACGTCTTCGAGAATAAGGGAATTAATGGATGGAGTGGAACATTCATATCCTAGAAATATGTGCAGTCGTTCCAAGATGCTAAAAAATTTTCACAAAAGACTCATTTCTCCGGAAACAATATTGTGCTTCATGTAGGAGACCGCTAGTGGTACTGCCTGATAGGATAATCACTAAGAGTCCGTAGTACCTTAGATAACACTGAAAGTAGTGCAAGTCGTCAGTAAATCGCGGCGCTCTGCCGATGTCCACCCCTTGAAAAGGCGGGAAGGATACATTTCGTATACTACTTTGGCGGATTCCCAGAAATCATGGAAAATCGAAATAGCTCGCAGTGACAGCTAACTGCAAGGCAAAAATTGTAGACAGCAATATTTTTTATTTAATTTTTTTAATTTTTGATTACAGCTTGATTCCACACTGTATTTTTGGTACAAGTGTGGAATTTTCAGCATGGATATCGGTAGCCCAAAATTCGCGGGCCGACCATAGATATCAGGTGTGTGTCGGCGTGGGCTCGAACCCCGGACCATGTGCATGGTCGGCGGGAGTCCTAACCACTGTGCCACCGACGTCAGTGCTACGTCCCGATTCCGGGTCATGAGACTTAGCGTGAGGAGAGACCGCTGTTTTGCACGTGGCAAACTGGGGCGCTGGAAAAACCTTTGCCTAGAAAAATGACAGAAAAAAGGTTTTAAAAGGTGTAGCGTGCCTTATTTCTGTTGTCCAACATTAGAGGTAATTGGAGCAATTGAGAATAGGGACATATATTCGAATTTGCGCGTAAATGACCGCCAGTTGGTGTGTGATTGACACACGGGTAGTAGTCTCACTCCTAGATAAGAACTTATGTGAGACTATAAGGCAGTGTTCGTTGATGATGCAGAGAGTTGGCAGCTACGTGTTAAGAATCGCGAGAGTAGCAGACTACAGGGTTGGTATTGGAAGGATAACTTTACGTTTCCATAACTGGTTGTACCTGATTCGCGCCGAACAATCCTTGAGGTAGACTATTTGCGAGAAGCAGATGCAGTGATTAACGTGGAGAAAAGGGTTGTGGTTTCGAAGTATGGGTGTTTCAGCATGCATGAGAATAGTGAGGTAGCAGGGATTGCAGTAACCAAAGTCCTAAGTGTAGTGAAGTTACTTAACAAATACAAGCATCCTTTCACTGGAGATGGAAATTCGTGCGGTTACTGTGATAAAGTGAGTGACATGCGGTCAAATGAGGCCATACATAACTCGAAGAGCTTCGTGTCAATTAGAAAGCGAGGTCGCATTACAGGTTTATGAGATGTTTGAGGACAAAATTATTGAAGAGGCCGATAGCCAATATAGTCAGTTCTCCAGTGCTATTAATGAAGCAAAGCAACGGGAAATACAGACTTTGTGTTGATTTCAGACAGCTGAACAGCTTAACAGATCTGAGACCGTGTGCGACGCAAAACAGAGCAGAAACTATAGGTTGCTTACAAAGTGCGAAGCTGTTCACAGGTTAGATCTGCGATCAGGGTACCGGTAACTGCCAATAAAACAAGGAGATGAGGACAAGACCACTTTCTTTGTGGGGTGGTAACAACATTGGTTTAAACGCATATCTTTTGGATTGTCAGGCGTCCCATTCACTCTAGGCGATTAATGAAGTTGCTGCTTAAGACTGTGAGGAATGTCCAAGTTGATAATAATAATATACTCTCATTTATGTGCATGGGGGACGCCAATTTCCGGCATCATCGATATGATAAATTACGCAAACGATTAGCGAGCATATTTAGTAATGATAATATAATAATGTACATATTTATTCCTACTTGTTTAGGACACACCTGTTGTACAGGCATGGATAAGCATTATTTAAATTACATTAATTTGGCTTAAGGTTAAATTACATGGTTGCTGTCTTTTTGTCTTTAGTTTGTGGTAACAATGTGATAACTAATGATTCAATGGACCACATCAAGAAATATAGAGATACTGACTTCTAATTATGGAGGTGGTCTAGTGATACACAGTACGAGAGAGAGGGACCACGTAGAGCACGTGAAGGCAGTTCTAAAACGCATCAAAAATTCGGTCAACGCATTAACAAGGTGAAATCTAAGATTGCTAAGAAGAACGTAACGTTTTTAGGATAAAGGACGAAAAGTGGCAAGATAACACCACTACCTGAAAGATTTTAACGTCAAGTCCATCGAGCCCACGAATTAGAAGGGGAAATTAAGAAAGTTTTGAGGATAGCAGCGTTCCGAAGTTAGTTCCTCGAAACGCTTTAACAAAGTTTTGGCTATGCTCTACGGGCTATTAGGCGAGTCAAAGTTTGTCTGGTTGTAAGACTCGCAGAGGGAATTCGACCGTATCAAACAGCTGGTGGATCACCGGGGATATAACATACCAGACAATGTGCCTATTGTCAAACTTATAGCAATCTGTCTACAGGCGTGCAGCATTTCAGTATCTGAATGCCAGGTTCTGCGTCTTCGTAAGAAATCTGCAAACCACTTGTCAATGGAGTTGAAGATTGAACGATCAATTCTTGGTTGTTTGCTCAAAATCAACTTCCCCAATTTTCGCGGAGGCATCAATACGACAGTCATCGTCTCATCGGTCGCTGTTCAGAAAGAAGAGTGAAACATCGTCAGAAGTAATACAGAGATTTATTATTGTAATATTTGTTTTCAGACCTTAGTTCGCTTATTCCTTTTATATGTTGGTGTAACAATAAACAAATCTAAAGCGGCAGATCAGTGTTTTGGTTTTTGCGTCCGTTATAACTGAGCGTTTCTGAGAAATCTTCGAAGAACAGCGTGGGCCCGAGCGTAGCGAGAGCTGGGCATTAACGGTTTATGAGACGTGATTGACAGTTTCTGACGATAGAAACAGATCTGGCGGATTCAAACAGTTGGTGAAAGTTTGGATAGTCGCCGTTCATTTTTCCTGGTGCCGGTCAAGTCCTCTTTGAACAAGCAATATCTGGAACATTTTTGGAATTGGGTCAAGTTCAACAATGCCTGGGTCAAAGAAGGGACAGAGTGTCTTGGATACAAACAGGAAAGTAAGTCATGGTGACTTGTCTGTTAATTGTAACGATGTGTCTGATGTTAAGCATGACATGGTTGATGTTACTGTTTCGCCGTTCAGGGATAATAGGAACATCAAACTCCCTAAATTAGAACCACGGTGTTTTGATGGAAACCCGGCTGTATATTTACAATTTGTAAAGGAGTTTGAGATGATGCTGAATAGTTTTCTATTAAATGATGAATTGAAGTTAATGTATTTGATGAGATATTGCACTGGAGATGCTGCAAGAGCTATACAGTGCTGTAAGTTTATGAAGCCGAAAGAGGGCTACTACGAGGCTATGAGCATATTACGTCAAAGGTTTGGAAGACCCTCGATGATTGCAGGGAAATTATTCGAGGCTGTTAAGGGTAATGGTGGTCAATTACAGGATGACTCCCAGGCACTCACTGAGTTTTTAGATAATTTGCTAATTTACAAGAATGCAATGATTTCGATGAATCGAATGAGTGACCTCAACTCGAGTTTTATACTAGAAGTAATAGCAAGACGTCTACCTACCCGACTGCAAAGGAAGTGGGTGAAGATAAGCTCCCGTATGGAGGATGAGGGTATCGAGCCAAAGTTTGATGATATCCTGAAACTGGTAAATACTAGTGTCAATCAATCTATGAGCAAGTTTGCCAGTCTATTGAATCTCACCCCTAGAATAGAGCAGTCTGAGGGTAAAACGCACTCATTGATGACGAATAAGCCTCAGAGAGGTGGATATCGAGAAGGCTCCATGATGTCTAGTAATGCATATAGATCTAGTGAGTGTAACAGGTTTCGTAGTACATCCTCAACAGATAAGTTACAAGATGCAAGACAAACACGGTTGTGTTGTACTCGTTTGCAAGAGGTGCATACAGAGGTGAACTGTGAACCAGTGAGCAAGTTCAGTGATAAGCTAAATGTAAACTCCAGGTCTGACTCCGAATTGTGTGACGATAACGGTGTGTGAAGAAGTCTGTAGTTGCAACTGGTAAGCCGTTGTTGAATAGAGTGTCACAGCATAGAGTTACTGCTTCAGAGTGCAGTTCTGACTCCACAAGTTTACAAAGTATAACTAGTCAGAGTGAAGATACAAAACCTTTAATGATTTGTGAGGAGGAACCAAAATTGTCTACTTCTGTTATTAAAGAGTTTGAAAATGATGAACTTGACGGTAAAGTGAATATTTGTGGTAATGATCATGATAGTGCAGATTTGTCTTTGGTTGATCATTATGAGATGAGGGATATGCCTACTACTGCTAAGTTAAATAAAGGTTCTGTACAACTACAACGTGAAGTAGAATTGAACGCAGATGCAGTTCCAGAAGGTGTGCATACTTGTGAGACAGTCAGTGTAATGGATCAGCGTGTAGCCCACCTATCATCAGATGATAGTGCTAAACCCGAACTAGTAGTGAAAGACAGCAGTGGTGGTAATCTTGCAGTTGGACAACAATCTGAGAGCCGTAAGTAGTGTTAATTGCCGAAAGAGGGGTGAAAGTTGGTTGTTTTGTATTGATGAATGACGTAGTGGTGGATATATTTAACCGCATATTAAAATATCAACATTTTGAAACTTGGGATGAATTTTATGCAGCGTTTAAAGAGTTTAATAAGCTCGCAAATACTCATTATGTAGTGAGAAGCAGTCGTAAAGATCATGATAATAGTATTCTGCGCTATAAACGTGTAAGTTATGTATGCACCTCCGGTCAATTACGGCGTAGTCGGTCCGAAGGGCTTAGGCCTGGAAAACCGTAAGTGCATATATGAGTTATTAGTTTTTTTATAAGTTTTAAGTGTATGGGTTGTACATCTACTTTCTGTGTTAATTCAGTTGATAGATGCCTGAAAGTAGGTGAAATGAAGGGTGCACATAATCATCCATGTACAAGAGATTTTATGATAGTAGACAGCAGCAGACGTTCGTTAACGGAGGATGAGAAGACTCAAGTAAATAGTATGATTAAATATATGGTGTCAACTTCTGAACTGCGGGACGCAGTATTCTTGAAATTCGGAAAATTTCTATCTCGAAAGGATGTAGTAAAATTGAGAGAAGAAGTGTTTGGAGGTATATAGATTACGAAATATTTCGTTAACTTCATTCTAGGTGTGAAAAGTGTGGCTGAAGTTCTACAGCTGTTATCCTCTTCAGGTGAAGTTCGTACGAAGAGTTCCAATGGACAGATTGATGTTGTATGTTTCAGCCTGCAACAAAAAATTAAATTTTTTCAAAGTTTTCCGGAAGTAATTTGCATTGATTCGACGTACAAAATCAATAAGGTTGGGTAAGTTACAGATACTGGTGTAATTTCTGCAGTTTCAGTCTGTTCCAGTTAGTCGCCACAGATGGGTGTGGAAATGGTGCTTGTGTTATGTTTGCTTTCTGTCAGAGGGAGACTGTGGTAGATATCACGTTTGTCCTCGAAATGTTTAAAGCCATAATGGGATGTACCAATGCTACGAGGACATTTGTCATGGATAATTGTCAGGCGGAAATCTCCTCGGGTGCAACAAGTGTTTCCACATTGCAGGATAGTTCTTTGCTCATTTCATGTGCTGCGAGCGTTTGGTCGGAAGGTATTTGACTGCAATTCATGATTACTGTGTAGTTTCGGAATAGTGATGCACGGTTCGCACTACGAAGAATGCTTTCAACGCGTTTTAGAGAAAGGTAAATGACGTGTGAATTACCAATTAGTGAATTCTGAAGATTTAACTATTATTACAGATACATTCGGCATGAATTCCCTCAAGCATACCAATATTTAAATGGACACTGGATGAATAACAGGAGAATGTGGGCTAGATGCTTCAGGAGGAAATACATGACATTGGGTAACGGAACGAACAACAGGGTTGAGAGTGCTCACAAGCACCTGAAGTTGCACCTTCAACGGAATGACCCACTAGTGCTAACCTTAAGGAAAGTTTATAACAAAGCAAAGAATTATTGGCGCCTTCGACAGTATGACACGCTGTTAACATTGCAGAGATTTCGTCAATATGATGTAAGTATAACTTCATTATTATACCCTTTGTAGGCTCCACAGTTAATTCATGTGCACTTGGACAAATTAACGCCGTATGCTGCTAAATTAGTCTTCAAAGATTACCAAAGGGTTGGACGTATTCATCACTCGGTAATCAGCAGCGACCTAATTGATTGCTATGACGGAGTGGCCTTCAACTTAGTTGACATTTCTAATGGTGTATGCGGGTGTCACCACTTCCATGACTACCAACTTCCTTGTTCGCATATCCTGTATGCCTACTCCGTGGGATTGTTCACTGGGGGTAAGATCAATTCATGTGCATTACATTCATATCCCATTAGATATATTACAATACAGCCAAAGATGGTCACGGGAATACAACTTTCAGGTTTGCTTCGAAACAATAGAGCGCCCTCCAGATGCCTTTCATACAGATAATTAATGACCTTTATTTTTCTACTGAAACTATTTTTGTAATTTTCCATTTTCCATACAGTTATTCTCAATTATTTTTCAATACAGAAATTATTATTCACTCACTATCTGTCTTCTATTCATCTTGTCGCAAATGATTAATCGTTAAGGAGAATTGCAGGTGATGTAGTAATCGTCTTGTAAAATGCTGCCTTATTTTTAAGCCGTTCTTTGTCATTATGTGCGTACAACAGATCAGTTATATTTATTCCGTTTGCGCATAGTACATGTAGGCATGCAGTTAGCCTTTTAGAAAGAAAACTTAAACTCGTAGACCGTTATTACTCTGAATGTGCGTGCAAATGTTAAGGTTTTTGATTTCAGAATGCGTTAAACATCATCTTCCAACAGGGCTACCGGAGAAGTATACGTTCACCTTATGTTTCTTATGCAATCACTGCATATTTATAATAACTAATGTAGGACGAATACGCAAATCCAAAATAACATTTATACGTATTTCAATGTCGACATACGTTATACAATTGCGTCTCCCGGTTACCATCTTTCCAGATGTATTGACCGTTTTATATTGACTAGGAATTTAAATTTTCTGGTCACGTGAATTGCTTTTTCTTAGTTGGTATATTATATCTACATTGTGCTGCGCTAATTACCACTATTTCAAAGTAAACTATTATTACGCATTCCATAACCGGCTACATCACTACTCCTTCAACAACCACAGTGAACAAGTATTAGAAGAACACCGTAACAACTTTTAGTAAGTATTTATTTTCATAAAGAATTTTATAATACTGCAAAAATTTCAACTTTCACAAGACAATTATTCTATTATGCTTCAGCAAAGCTGTTTAATCAAGTGAACCATTACACCTGTAACCTAAAAACAGAAAACTATGTTACTTATGTTAGCATATACTTACCAATACGAAAATGCAAAAAACCAAAAGATATCTTAGTAGAAACTTTCTTTCCACAGTGTTATGTTACGAATAATTCATGTAACACTCCTTTACAGGTGAAATCTTTTCTTACTGTTACTAAATTTTCAGAAATCAGACATTCAATACATCAAATCAGAATTTCGCAAAAAATAAATCATTTACGTATTTTTCTCGGTTTTTTAAACGAAATCAACAATTTAAGCCAAATTTTTACATCCCATATACAAAGATACGCAGAAATTTCATGAAAAATACGTGTTCACCCAAACTGCTGAAAACCGTGCATTATCCATCATTTTTATAGCCTTTCCTGTTAAAATATGGCTTTGAAAATGATTTTCCGTTGAAAAAACACCTCAAAACAACGTAGAACTACCAAAACACAACTGCGCGATAACACCTAACAACAACCCGTGTGTGCCTTTATCCATTGCCGAGCCTACTACTCTCAACCGAAGACATTTCTACAACCGGAACACAGCAGCTACAGCAGACGCAGTCCAAACAATTAACGTGCCCGTGGATTATATAATTAATTTGTAGCCGAGGACTTAGACGTTATCTACAAGTAATCCTTTTTGTTGCTATAACTCGTCACTGTATTTTTGGTAATATATTGTGATTTAACACTCCACTGACTTGGATTATTACTTTTATACTTGGAATGTTAGTGAACTCTAATATTAGTCCCCTACAAATTAATTGGTGAGCCCGATAAGAACACGGATTATTTTGGCATATTCATATTCTTATTTTTGCTATTTTTATATTCATTGTGATTTTGTGTGTGGTTTATATTTGTATCCTAATTTGCACCAATAACCTCATATATATAATGTCATCACCTCAGTCCGGTACATCAAACGAGCAGACAACTAATAGCGAGACAAATGCCACAATAAATGCCATCACTGATTTTCGTTTACCCCAATACGGTTTCGCAGAACCAAGGATTTGGTTTGCGGTAATTGAACCGTTGCTAGAAGCACGGGGCATTAAGTCCCAAATAGCCAAATATGGTATGGTGCTGGCAGAACTCCCTCCGTCAGTATTGACAGAAATCAGCGATTTCATCGAAGATCCTCCGACGGAACATCAATTTGATAAACTTAAAGCCCTCCTCATACAACGTACCAGTTTGTCGGATGAGAAAAGAATCCAACAATTGCTCACAGGCTGTGATCTAGGCCCACGTAAACCATCCCAGCTGCTCAGGCACATGCGCCAGTTAATCGGAAATCATAAAGTAGACGAGGTAGTGCTGAAACAGATGTGGTTGCAACGTTTACCTAGAAATGTCCAGCAAATTTTAATCATCTCAGGAAAGTCGTATGACTTAGACCAACTAAGTGACATGGCAGATAGTATTTTGGATGTTTTATCCGATAACACCATAAGTCACGTAGCATCTGATAGTGCCACACCGTGTCATTCCACACCCACGGCAGACACACCGATACTCGCCGCCATTGCAGACTTAGCGGCAAGGATTGACAAGTTGGAAACTAATAAGTCTGATCGACAAGTCCGGAGACGGAGTTCACAAAGAAGGTCACCATCACGACGACGATCCTTCTCACGACAGCGTTCTTACACGTCTTCTCGGGATAGCAATATATGCTGGTATCACTGGAAGTTTGGACGTCATGCCCTGAAATGTGTAAAACCGTGCAGCTTTAGCGAAGCCAACCAGGCTCAGGGAAACGCCTCAGCCAGACAGTGATGGCGACAGCTGTTACTGGCAAGCAAACAAGTCGCCTCTTCTATGTGAAGGATAAAACTTCAGACACTTTATTCCTGGTAGACACGGGAGCAGAAGTTAGCGTAATCCCTCCTTCACTATCCAGGCGATCTACACGGACACCCGGAAAACTGTCTCTCCGGGCAGCTAACCACACAAGCATACAGACGTATGGAGAGCAATCCCTCATACTGGATCTAGGTTTACGTCGGCGTTTCACATGGATTTTCATAGTAGCCGACGTCAGTCACGCCATCCTCGGAGCAGATTTCTTGAGTAATTTCAACCTGTTAGTTGACGTCAACAATAAAAAACTGATTGATAACAACACCCATCTAAAGATCCATGGAATTATCTCCAGCTATTCTGTCTATAATATCAGTATTGAAAGACCAGCAGATTGCCCTTTTTCCTCCCTACTTCACCGTTTCCCTAAAATTCTTAAGCCGTCGTACAACATCGAGGACGTCCCTCACACAGTTACTCACAAGATAGTTACTACGGGTCAACCAGTTCGTGCTCGTCCCGTAGATTACCCCCGGACAAATTGGCAGCAGCCAAGGCAGAATTTGAACACATGATGCAGCTCGGCATCATCAGACCCTCCAATAGTCCTTGGTCTTCGCCCTTACACATGGTGCCTAAAGCTGATCATGATTGGAGGCCATGTGGGGATTACCGACATTTAAACAATGCCACAGTTCCCGACCGTTATCCTATTCCTCATCTTCATGATTTCTCCCTGACATTACACGGAAAAACCATTTTTTCTAAAGTAGACTTGGTCAGGGCCTATCACCAAATACCAGTTGCCCAAGAGGATATCGAAAAAACGGCCATCATCACACCTTTCGGTTTGTTTGAATTTCTCCGCATGCCATTTGGCCTAAAGAACGCAGCACAATCCTTCCAACGTTTCATGGATCAGGTCACACAAGGTTTGGACTTTGTATTTGTATATATCGATGACGTTTTAATTGCTAGCTCGTCGCCCGAAGAACATACTGATCACCTCACCATCTTATTTCAACGATTTGAGCAATATGGAGTCGTCATTAACCCCAAAAAGTGCATATTCGGTGTCTCCTCTATACAGTTTCTGGGACACCACATAACCACGAATGGTATTACGCCTACGGAGGAAAAGATAGAGTCCATCAAAAACTTCCCCGAACCAGATTCACTCAAGAAGGTCAGACGTTTTTTGGGGATGTTTAATTTCTATCGGCGTTTCATTCCTTCGTGTGCCTCCATCGTCCAGCCGTTAACCGACCTCCTTAAAAATGATCCTAAAAAGTTTCAGTGGTCAGCTGAAGCACGCGAATCATTTTGCAACGCAAAAGATGCCTTATCCAGAGTCACTATGCTATCCCATATCAACCCCGAAGCGTCGCTTATTTTGTGCACAGATGCCTCCCAAGTAGCTGTAGGGGCAGTATTACAACAAAAGATGAAGGGCGAAGTCACCCCACTCGCATTCTTTTCTAAGAAGTTGGAACCGGCTCAGACACGATACAGCACTTTTGGGAGAGAATTGCTGGCCATATATCTTGCAGTGAAGCATTTCAGTTACTTACTACAGGGCCGGCATTTCACTATTTTTACTGACCACAAGCCCCTGTGTCATGCTTTCACTACTTCACTCGATAAACACTCCCCTAGAGAAGCCAGACAGTTGGATTATATCTCCGAATTTTCAACCGACATTCAGTACATCAAAGGGGATGCGAACGTGGTAGCCGATTCTCTTTCAAGAAGTGACATTAACCAGCTCCAAACGTCGGTAGACATCAGTCTTGATCGTATGGCTCAATTACAAAAAGATGACGTTGAACTCCAAACCTGCCGCAGAAACTCTTCCTTACAGCTCAAAGATGTGCCTATCCCCTTATCAGATGCAACCATAGTCTGCGATGTATCTACCGGCACTAATCGTCCATTTGTCCCTCTCAGTTGCCGAAAAGCATTGTTCGAACATTTACATTCGCTTTCTCACCCTGGAGTACGCGCCACGGTCAGACTGATCAGCGAACGCTTCGTGTGGCCTAAAATGAACTCTGACATTCGGAGATGGGCACGAGAATGTATCCAATGCCAATGCTCCAAAGTACACCGCCACACTATTACAACCCCGAAGACGTTTGAATTACCCGAAAGGAGATTTCAGCATATCCATATAGATATCGTGGGACCATTGCCAACATCAAGGGGATATACACATATCCTGACAGCGATTGATAGATTTACTCGTTGGGCTATTGCATGCCCCTTAAACGACATATCTGCTGAAAACGTTGCTTTAGTTTTTCTCGACCGTTGGGTGTCAAACTACGGTGTACCAACTACTATTACATCCGACCGCGGTCCTCAATTCCAATCGACACTCTTTCGCGAACTGACGAGACTTCTGGGAGTGAAACATATCTCCACAACAGCCTATCATCCGGCAGCGAATGGTCTAGTGGAAAGATTCCACAGACAACTGAAAAGCTCCCTGATGGCGCAGAATGATACATCTAAGTGGAGTGAATACTTACCTTTGATTTTACTTGGTATCCGTTCTACTATCAAAGAAGATTTAGGATGTACACCGGCTCAACTTGTCTATGGCACCAACCTAACCTTGCCTGGACAGCTAGTCCCCTCAGCCGATTCCACAGACGTGAACATTGCCGACTTCACTAACCGATTAACTAGACAAATGCTTCAACTTCAACCAACAGCACCTCGACAATCTCCCCGAAGAGATCAGATCAACAAACATCTACAAACTTGCAAATTCGTCTTCATTCGAGTCGACGCCATCAGAAAAGGATTGCAACCTCCATACGAAGGACCCTTTCAAGTTATTAAACGTTCAGACAAACACTTTACAGTGAACAAGAATGGAAGACGAGAGACTGTTTCAATTGATCGAATCAAACCCGCATACACCGACAACGACTTCGAATCTACATCGGCAGCTGCGCAATCAAATAATCAAACATCCGAATTCCCTCCACCGGCACCAAGTCTTATCCTCCCTCCATATCACACACGTAGTGGTCGGCAAATCAGTAAACCGGCTCGCTACGTTCATTTTGAGGACTAACAAAAGAAAAATAATTAAAAATTATTATTATCTTTTTCGTTTAGACATTATCATCATGACGGTTAGTATTTCGTCGTAAACTTTGATGTTACTATCACTATTATTTATTTATATGTACCTCACCTAAAAAACAGGTATTGTCCTTTCCAAAAACTATTGATCTTTAATCCATATTTTTTTTAATGTTTCTTTCCCCTCCTTAATTACTGTGTATTTACATATTTTTCTTTATACATTAAAAATCTATGTTCATGGTTAGTGCAAATTTAAGTGACATGACTTTCTATTTCAATTTTTATTGCTGAACTCATTGTATATGCTTTCAGACTTTACATGATTCACATACCTTCTCGCGTTTATGCATGTTGTAATATATCCCTATTTTTATCCAAAAGTTGCTATTACTATTATTATTTACTTCATAGTTTTACGTATCATTTTCCGGTTGTCTCTCCGGACCTCTAGGGGGGAGCCGTGTTGAGTACGTAACAATGTGATTGTACACTTTTTGGTTACTTGTATAAATTCGAGATATTGTACATAATTTTTGTTTAAAACGCTTCTTGTTGAAATATACATAACTTCCGTGTACAATTGAAAAATACACTCTGCTGTTGGAGACTTCGTCTTCTCCCTGGTCACTTCTGCTTACTTGCTCCACTCACACCGTGTTGTATACTTCGGATTTATTGTAGGAGCCTACTACTCTCAACCGAAGACATTTCTACAACCGGAACACAGCAGCTACAGCAGACGCAGTCCAAACAATTAACGTGCCCGTGGATTATATAATTAATTTGTAGCCGAGGACTTAGACGTTATCTACAAGTAATCCTTTTTGTTGCTATAACTCGTCACTGTATTTTTGGTAATATATTGTGATTTAACACTCCACTGACTTGGATTATTACTTTTATACTTGGAATGTTAGTGAACTCTAATATTAGTCCCCTACACTCCTACCAAAAATACCTTGTCACAGCCCGACAAAAGTAACTTCCCTTGTATTGGCCACATCTGTAATTTGGAGTTGTTGAAAATTGGGGCACCATCAATGTTCAGCTGAAGAGCAATTGGCACAGAGACTTCATATCTGACAATTTGTAACCGAGATAAAATCTGACGACGAAGACCAATGTGAACATATATTCCAGTACCAACTGCTCTCCTTTCAAAAAAGTCTTTAGTCCTCATCAATGTCCGAGGGTCAGTCGGCAGCTCACGATGATGGGGCCTTAATTCTTCCAGCAAAATACGAGTATTAGTCATATTCAGCTTACATCTGTAGACGACGTTGCGAACAGAATCCACTGGAGTGCACTCGGTTTGGTCAGCTTCCTCTGTTGCAAACAGTTGTTCATTCGGTAAATGTTCATCCAATGACGGTGCAGGTGCCATGCTATTACAATGAACATCAACTGGAACGATAATTTGTTGGGGAGTAACCATGTTTCCTGGCATTGTTTCAGGCTGTGGTTCACTTTCACGAATTTTCGCATATGATTCTGTGTACATTAATATGAAAGGACAAGCTTACCTTCTACACGCTTCTTCCAATCCAGATTGTACTTTTTGAGACGCCGATAGAATGTTGACTTATAACGTCTTAAGTCAAAATGGACTAGCGCTGCATCGTCAAAGAAGATTAATTGATCAGCATCATGATGCTGAGTGACGAAGATTTCCAGATTGATTTCAGGTTGATGAATGTGTTTCTCGCCCCCCAACCGATTCTCGCTCGATATGACATCCTCGTCCGTTCCGACTGCCCGTAGTTGAGACAATGCTCCCTAGATAAGTGAATGAAGTAACCTCTTTCAAATCCCTCCTGTTGATGGTGATTGACGTTGGATGTTGTTGGTTGGTTATTTTCATAACCTCCGTCTTGTCTATGTTCACCCGGAGTCCTGTCTGCTTTTCCGATCAGTTTGTCGGTTTTCGCTTGTAAGTCTTCGATTTTGTGTGACATGGAACATAAATCATCCACGCGCGAAATCCAGGTCTTCTAGGTTCTTCACGTCGGTCCAGGATATCCTTGTCTTCTCGTTTCTCACTATCTGACGCATAATCCAGTCCACCACAATTACGAATATCATTGGTGATAATAAGCCAGCACCCTTGTCTGACTCCTGTGTTTACTCCAAACGCCTCGCTGAGCTTTCCGTTGTGGATGACTTGACATGTGCCGTTGTCGTTGATGAATATTTGGGGTACGCCGTAGTACTCGGGTAGTTTCCAAATTACTCCGCTGTCTGTTGAAGGCCTTCTCAAAGTCTATAAAGTTGGGGTAGAGGTTTGATTGCCATTCCATGCTTTGTACGATGATGATGATGCGTAGAGTTGCAATTTGGTCAGAACATGATTTGTCTTTCCTGAATTTAGCTTGTTCTGGTCGGAGTTCAGCATCCTTAATTCTCTCCAGGATGATGCGACTCAATATTTTACTTGGCGTCGACAGGAGCATGACTCCTCGCCAGTTCTTGCAGAGTGAGGTGTGAGTCGCCCTTCTTTGGTAGTTTCACGAGGTAAGTCAGTAGGCACCTTTCTCTTCTTCCAGACCTTTTGCAATAATGGAGTCAGCATGTCTGCTGTCGTCTCTGGGTCTGCTTTCAGTGCTTCAGGGGGTATTCCATGTGGTCCGGCTGTTTTTCCAGCTTTCAGAAGTTTGATTGCGTTCAAGACTTCAGCTCTCGTTGAAGGATTGGTGTCAACTTGCAGTTGTGTGCGCGCTGTTGATGGTATTTCTGGACGGGTTGCAGGTGGTGGTCGGCTCAAGAGTCCTTTGAAGTGGTCCACCCATTGTTTAATCTGTTTTTCTTCCTTGGTAATTGGCTGTCTTTTATAGGTTTCGCTTGTGTTGATCTCTTCCCGGATAGAGACTTGGTTATCTGATATAATGTCCTCAGGTCCCTTTTGTCTGCTGCCTTCTCAGCTTCAGTGGCCAGGTTGTCGTAGAATCGTCTTTTGTCCTTCCTAGCACTCTTCTTCACTTCTTTGTTCAGTGCTGTGTAAGTTGAGCTCAGCGTCTCCTTCTCCTGTTTGTCCTTGCATTGAATCATTTTCTCTTTCACCATTCTCCTCTCTTCTATTAATTTCCAAGTGTCCGTTGAGAGCCATTCCTTGTCTTGTATCTTCTTTCTTTATAGAGAATAAAAATCAGTAAATTAGTTAAACGTTCGCTGTGTAAGTAGTTGAGTCGAGTTATACGTATGTGACTATACTGAGAACTGGACTGGATTTCAATTTCCGTTCTGCCAATAGTTGTGGTCTTTTAGACAAGCTAGGGTGGACATGTCAATGTGTATTTCTAGGCTCCGTTTGAACCCATCGGTGTTTTTACAACATTGAATTTCAGATGGTAGTTGGTTCCAGAGATTGCAATATTAAGTGGTGAAAAAGTCTGCCCTAATGGATTTTCTGTGGGTAGCCACCTTGACAAGGTAGTCGTAGTTCCGCAGTTGATATGATTTAATATTTTCCCACGTTATGGATGAGTTACTATAACAGTGTTTCATAATGACTTTGAAGAGTAGAAATAAGTTGCACTTCACTCTCGTTAACCACAGAGGTTCTAATTTCAGACGTATACACTTGTCAACATATTCCACTTGTTGGTCAAACCCTATTAAGTGTTTCGTGAGGAATCTCTGGACACTTTCGATTTTTTTTCGGTCTGCAGACCTTAAGTTACTAAATAAAAGAGCACAATATTCAAGTTTGAAGTGGATGCATGTCCTGTATATAGCTAATCTTGCTTCTTGGGTGTAGAAGTTACGCAGTACAAAGCCAGTAAGTCGTTTACGGTCATATACAACCTTATTCGCATGATCTGAAAACGTTAAATCTGAGTATGTTATCGCGAGATCTGTGTTCAGTTTTGAGAGGAGCTTACCGTACATATATAGGCACATTCTCGGCTTCCAGCGTCCAAGCTGGGCTACACCGCACTTGTCTTGGTTGAAAGTCAGTTGCCACTTTTCTCTCCAATCGCCTAGATTGTTTAAGTCATGTTGGATCTTGCTTTCGACGCTCATATCATCGTACCCATAATCATATACTATCTTGAGATCATCTGCAAAGAGGTATGGCTTGCCATACTTGATCACAGAGACTATGTCATTTATAAATAAGAGGAATAGAATAGGGCCAAGAACGCTAGCCTGTATTACGCCACTAGTTATCGGCTTTGATGAAGACGGGTGGTGGCTGATTTTGACTAATTGCTCTCTTTCTATGAGAAGAGAATTTATCCATTTGAGAAGTTTTCCGGTTATTACGTAGGATTGAAGTTTTGTTAGGGGTCTGATATGTGGGACTTATCGAAGACCTTGCTAACGTCGAGAAATAATGTTGTTACCGAACGCCCATTATCAATGCATTGTGTAATGTAATAATCTAAGTGGCAAGTAATTCACCACCTTCTACTTAAGAAACCGTATTGGGATGGGGATAGTAGGTCATTTGACAGCAAATACTGAATGATTTGAGTTTTTACTATCTTTTCCATTACACGTGAAACTACAGACGTGATGTATATGGGGCAGTAGTTGTTGCTATCGGTCATAGGCCCGCATCTATGGATAGGTACAATATAATACTTCTTCCAGAAGGTAGGGTATGTCCCATCGCTTAGTAAAATTGAGTATAACTTGAGTAGGAGTAAGTCCATGTCATTACCATCGTTTTTCAGCAGAATAGAAGATATACCGTCTGGACCAATAGTGTTACTAAGCTTAAGATTTGCGACAGCTTTGTCGATCTCATGTGTGGTGAAAATTATATCACTTAAATATTCGTCTGTTTTACATGGGAAATCCGCGACCTCATCGTTCTCTAAGGTGTATAATCTGGTGAAGTGCTTGCTAAACAATTCACATATCACCTCAGTATTTTCTTAAGCAATGACGTCTAAATATATTATTTCCGGATATGCTGTTCTGGAGTTTGTCAACCTACTTTTGAAAAGTTTGGCTATTTCTCCTGAGTTATGCGGTGCCTGAATGACCTGCATTTCTTTGTTTCTGAGGCCTATATTTCTCAACTCTTCAATTCTATTGATAAGGGACGTAATAGTAATTAATGATGATAAGTCATGATACCTTTAGTATTTTATTGAGTGCTTTCGTGGACTTCTCCTAAACGATATCGGAATATAATCGCTTAGGGGGAATCTGAAGCTAAGAATCTTCTCAGGTGCAATGACGTCATGAATTGAGTTAATATTCTGATAAAAGTTGTTAAGAATTGCCTCTAAGGACTCGTTCGAAAAGTACGAGTCCCAATTAGAACATCTAATTAGGTGCTGATACAAGTCCCAGTAAGCATGCGTGTGCAATCTCATAAGTGTCTGGCCAGCTTCATCTCTGCGTTTTGTTTCAGGAAAGATGTCAAAAGAACACACTACTATTTTATGGTCACTACCTGGAAATTCATGTCCCACATCTACTGTAGATGGTGTCATGTTGTTCGTGAAAACAAGGTCTAGGATGTTTGAGCATCTAGTGGGTGAATTTATGTGTTGTGTCCACCCTCCTGTGACGATGGAATTCAGGAGATTATCATACCTTTGGGGTCCTTGGAGTGAAGACCATGGTACTTCTGGCATGTTGAAATCACCTCCGATAATTTTATAACTGAAGGGAAGATTGGCTGTAACATGAAAAATATTTCTGAGCATATTATCATATTCCCTGCTGGATGAAGGGGGTCGGTACACACAACCCACAAGTATAGGTTTACTTCTGACAACTTTTATTTCGACCCAGATCGAGTTATTGAGTTCTGACAGAATTGGGTTACTAAACTGGGTTGCACACATGGATTGTTCACAGAAAATTAGTGTTCCACCCCCAGGACCTCTCTCTGTCCCTTCGAAAAAGGGCGTGTCTGTCAACCCTTAGGCTGTCATTGGAGATTTCACTTGTGCACCAGGCTTCAGTGATCATAATCAATGACGGTCTGCATGTACTAAGTGTTTGCTTAGAACTGATCTCGTATTTACTAGAATAATATATAAACACTGTATATGTGGTTTCAGTGAAGGGACAACATCCTGATGAAATAATCCGTGAGTATTTTCTATATACATGTTATCAGACTCATTTACCAATATATTTGAATCATAGGAAGACTTCAGGTAGGTCTTTGAGGTGGTAGTCAGGGATGGTCTTTCGTTTGGATAGGGTATGCAGTGAGAGACATCTGTATGATAATCAGATAGTAATATTTTAAAAATATTAGTACCCGCGTTTGGTGTCGACAGTGTGTCAGCTATCTCCCGGGAAATATGCCTTGCCCTAGCTGTAGACTGTTCGCTATGCCAGCAAGGAATTGATCTGATATCATGCGTGCTGTATGCATGATGCCAGGCGTTTCTGTTAACTGACGCTGGTGAAAATCCTACCTGAAGGTATAACCGATATGAGTATTCAGTAATT